ATTGATTGCATTGTATTGTATTGACTCACAATTCATAGACAAGACATACGATTCTGTTGGACAGGACGTAAGACTCGTATATCTGTGCGATGTGTTTGTGAACCACTCTCTCATAGCACTGACACTCGTCTTTCAAAGCTAGCAATCAATACATTTGTGTGAATTATATTTTCCATAATAACTTCTCTGTGTTAAATGTCTTCATTTAAATCACTTGCATACCTGTGCCCACACACAAGTTGTCGTCAAATGATAACTTGGAGTAATCGATTATTTTGACCACAAATTTATCCGGCTTATACTTATTAGTGCACCGATAGATACAACTAAATCGACCCCTGTTTTGCACACAATATAAAAATTCTTATTAATAACATTTGCATTGAATTAAAATGAAATACAGTAATATTGTTTGAGAGATAAAGTTTGAAAAGTTAAATAATGCTTAAAATATAAGTAATTAAATAGTGAATACGTTTTGATGCATAAATCCAACCGATATTTATCATCAAAAGGTGTCGATTCGTCGATCACTCGACTCATTGCGATATTCTTTGTTCACAATCTGATCACTGAATCACACAATTTATTATGAACTAGTAACATTTGTATTTTTTGCATAATTTCTAAAAATATCATTTTAGTTATGCTTTAATCTTATATTTATTTCAAAATATAGCGAAAATGTGTGAATCATTTGATATATATTTTATTAATACTTCACATATTCTTTAGCACAGAATCGATAGAATCGATGCTCGGCTCACAAATAACGTGACAATTATAGCTATTGTGGGGCAGCACTTGGCAGTGATTTACAGAATTAATGTATATTGTATGGTATAATATACAAATTGTTATCACTAAAATAAATATATTAATAATTCAATGAATTCATTTATATTTTATTCAAAACATTATCTAATATTGCATTATAAAATTAACGTCGTTGTAATAAAAAATATGTGTACAGTATATAACATGGATTGTTGTATGAACTGTTGTTTTGCAACCAAATTACCTAATTTTAACATTAGGGCAAAGGGATTAGGTTTTGAAGTCCAAAATTTAAACACGATATCCATACCTAGCATAAGTTATATTGAAATCTCACAACTAATATCAGATTTGATTTAATTTAATTATTTTGTTGTAAACTTTACATAGTTTGTAAAAATACAAATATACATGTACAAATATCTATCAAATTTATACAATAAAATATTTTTTATTTCCTAATAATATTTTAAATTTGATTTGATCTCCTCCAATTAAATTTAGTTAAGACCATTTAAAACAAAAACTCTACTCCATAAATAAACTCCATGTTAACACCAATGTGACATTACATATTATAAATCTGTGTAACTGAAAAATGACTATATTTAACATTAATATGTACTTTTATTTTTAACCCGCTTATAGCATAATTCTGTAAATTTTTCTGTAAGTTTTGAAAGTTTTTAAATCATTTAATTTCTTATTTTATAATAACTCGTGACGAAGGCTCCGATTAGGACCGAAAGTACTCGAGTATTAAGATCTAATAAATACCATTAAATCATCACTAAATCTAAAGAGTTATTTCATATCATATTTAATTCTGTAAATTGTCTATTCATTCAATCATTAATCATTCAAATAATTTATCATAAATTTATGCGGTGATGAACAAATTATAAATATCATATATTATGACCTATGGGTTCAATAATCACTTAGATTTTAAGCCTGATTTTTAAATCTTTTTTCTAAACGTTACAATTGTATTGAATTTTTTTGTGTAACTGCATATTCTACACAATAATGTGATTTAAACTGAAAATTATTGATTCAAATATTATATTTGACAATTGTGGGCTAAAGTTTGGTTTGGCTTTCACTTTTTTAAATTTAAATTTATTGCAGTTATAAACCATTTATATATGCCATATGATTCCTTTATTATTATTATTTATTTATTTCAATCATTTATAGGCTAAGCATACTGTATATGAAACCAAACTTTATACACTACTATTACAGTGTATTATTGAGTTTATTCGAGAGTTATTCCTTAAAATTACATTCATTTAAAAAAAGAAAACATTAAAAATACTTTAAATATTGGTTTACATACTGTTATTGATTATTGTATGATTTGAGTATTAAACAAAACGATCAAAATAATTGATAATTACTAAATAAAAAATCAATCGGAAATTTTCTTATATTTATATAAAAACAAATATGTTTTGCAACAAATAATATACAAAACATTTATTGATTTATTTATTGGTGTAAAAATGGCTTTAGAATAACTTGTAATGTATGAATGAATTGTTAAACAATATTGTTACAATAATAAAGTTAATAATTGAATAGTCGTTGATTTATATAATGCTTTGTTTTCATTTCTAACTACAGTAAGAATTTCCATCAAACAGAATTCACTTTATTATTAAACTAAGCTATATTGCTCAAAATTGTTATTAGTGTAATACCCGTTCATTTGACTCACAATTTATTGTATATTTTGAATAACCAATAAAAATAAAATCTTTTAAACATTGATTTAATTAAATCTTTTTGTTGTGATTGGAGTTTATACTTAAATTCAAAATGAAATTTTAGAGAATTTCAAAACTGAATGAATGTATGTCATGAATAACCTATTTTTCATTAAATCTTTATTCAACGTAATGTTATTACAACAATAGGAGAGCTCATAAAACATCTCATGTTTGCAAAAATATTTTGCAGACTTGTTTTTATAATAACTAAACACAGAGAACACGAAAAATATAAAATTTAATCCAAAAATTCTATACATTTGTTGCATTAAAATATATACTGTTTACAATTAGTTTTACAAAAATATGATATTTCTGCTAAAATGTACTCACTTTCAATAAATAATAAATTTGCAACATTTAGAATTTACTTAAACTTTTAAAAAGTTTATATTTTTAATTACATATTGCTATTGTTTATGTAATTATTTTACAAACAAAAGTTTAAAATTGTTAATTTTAATGAAACAAAAAAATATATAAATTTAAATAAATTTATCAATATATTCACAGAAGCTTTTGATAAATAGCTAAGTACTGTATATAAACATGAAATATAGGTAAATAATTTGTCGCCAATTTTGATGATTTTATGGCATAAGTTAACGGCAAGTATTGGTTTAGTTAGTCATGTCATGCGCGTCCACACAGGGATGGGATGCTGTGGCGAGGATTTTGTTGCATCCGATATATAGTTGGAGTAATCGCCGACTTAAGAAATACTTAGTGTTTGAATCAACTCAAGTGATGTAATGTATGGTACTTTTCAAAGTAGATTTCAATTGACTCTTTTGGCAATTACTCTGAATTAATGAACACATTTGTTGTAATATGTTTCACGACAATTAACAAAACATTCATTTTCTTTATATTAATATTATGTTTATTAATAATTGTTATATTAATATGAAACATAATGTAAAAACTTTTCGTTAAAGATTTCAGTCATTATGAAATAATTGATTTGATCTTATTATACAATTACTACTTGATTATAATGTCACCAAAAAACAACTTTATTGTCGACAGAAATTCAATTGTGGGACAAATCATTAGAAAATTTGAATCATTAAGTAAGTAATTATAATTTAAACTTTATGAGTTTAACTTGTTAAAAAGTAATTACAATACTTTAACATAAATTAACAGTGTCACTTAAGTAATTATGATAGTGTAAGACAGGCGTATTATCTAGTTAATAAATATGATTTAAACATTGGATAGTAAACATTTTTTCATGTATTATATTTAAGTTTAAATAAAATCTTTTAATAAATAACAAATAAAATTATTTGCATAATATAATAAGATTTTTAAAAATATTTAAATGTTTTCAATCTAGATTTTTAATAATTCTAATAATGACATTTGACAGTAATAAGTTAGTCAAAATAAATAAATATATAGTACTGTATAATAAAACTTAAGTTTAAAAGTTAACACAATCTATATTTAATTTATTTGATACAGTTCAATTATTTAACAACTGAATTTATTTGCAAATCAGAGTAACTGTGATATGACATTTGAAACATTTGATTAACATATTATACCTACTATTGACAAAATCAACTAAATGTTTATATGATTTTGGAGTAACTCATAATGCAATCGACCAAAACATTTGAAAAATCAATTCATATAAATATTTGAAATGATGCCAAATATATAAATTGAGTTTAACTATATTTCACAGTAATATAATATTTAGATTATGATTTTATTTTAGATCAAAATAAAAATCCGTTAATACGTATAGTATAATACATTGTTTTTAGTTGCTGTCTAGATCATTATAATTGATGAAACTATAAACTTTAAATTCGTTTTAGTACTCGAGACCTGTGTTTAAGTATAAATATATAATTAATGTGAAATATTGGCGTATGATTTGCAGATCACATATTCATAATCGCAAACACATCTCTGGCCAATTGGCCGGTTATCTACTGTAACGATAAGTTCACGCATTTTGTTGGTTGGAAGCGCTCTGAAGTGATGACCAAAAGTGTGATCTGCGAGTTCTTGTATGGCATGAATACAAACAAATATATTATTGACTCCTTTAAGAGCGCAATCCAAGAGAACATCGATTTTCAGTTCAAAAATATTTTTGTCAAAAAAGACGGTCAGAAATGTTTGTTTGAATATATTCTTGATTTTGAAAAATTTTAAATATTATATTTATTGATTCTGTAATTATTATTACTTTTGATAATCATTAATCATAATTTTAGGTTCAGAATTCTTATGTAATGTAGTCATGACTCCCATTCAATCTTCAAATATGGTTATTGTTATGTTTGATCCCTTACTAACGCATCAAAACTTACCAAATCTTCAAATCTGTAAGTTTTAAGTCATTTTTAACAATTTACTTTTATACCAATAATTTTATTATATATTTTTAAGTAACAAATATTATTTATTAGTGAGTGAACAAGTGAATGTGTGTGTGTGTGTGTGATTCAGTGATCAGATTGTGAACAAAGAATATCGCAATGAGTCGAGTGATCGAAGAGAGAGAGAGAATGGTAGAGAGGGTTGACTCACTTGAGGAATTAGACTAAATTTTCTGCGAGTATTCTCTTTGAGTTCAAAGATAGAGCTCTTTCGGGACCTATTGTTGGGATGACTGCGAATATCTCCATTGGAATGGTTGGAGGAGTTGAGACTCGACTGCTGTTGAGTCCACTGTTTTTGTCTCAACTTCTGCATGGAGTGGGATGTCGTGGTGTTTGACTCAAACGAATTGTTAGGTGAGAGCCAAACGGTGGACATAGCGGTGCGGGTGAGGGGTGTCTGAGTGGTGGGCACATCGAAGGCCTGTTGGCGTCTCATCTGAGGCGTCGAGTTTTGTCTCATTTGTGGTGAGTTCTTAAGCAGATGTCTTTGGTTGGGCTGTTGGTACGGAACTCTTATACTGATAGCAATCTCGTCATTCCTATTGCCTATACATCTTTGATACTCTTCGTGTAAATTCGAGATTTGTGGCGACATTTCAAATGTGGTTTAATTTTTCAAACTTTTCATTCATTCACGTATAATTGAAGGCAAAACTATTTTCAAGACCATTTTTCACATATTCTATAAAATTATTTATTGCAAACATTTCTTACAAAAGTTTTGGTAATTATTAGCAACATTTCATTATAAAAATCATTTCGATAACGAGTTTTGACTTAATTTACTTAAATATGATTGTCATTCAGTCGTTGAGGCATTGATTTGCATATATGAGTGAAAGGCATAGAGAATTGAAAGCAAAACAAATGTATAAAAAGTTGACTTAAATCACAGAAACATGAGTTTGGGTTAGAATAGCGTCACATAAATCTTGATGTCTATAATTTGGTTGCAATACTTTAGAGACTGAATGCCTGTGCGGCTAAAGTTCTGCTTCACATCTATTGATTGACATAACGGTGCGAAAGGCACATACCATTACAGGCTTCAGAGCAGGCGCTCATTACCACAACTAATGAGTGGTTAAGACTAAAGCCATAAAATGTTTACTTATATTCTCTCTCTTCTCGGTATAGAATATCTATAAATCATATTAAATATTGAAATATAATCCAAATCACAATCAATTATTCAAAATATATATGTCGAGTGATACTCATAACTGATTGCAACCTAACATCTCATGCAAAATATCATATAAATTCAATTATAGTAATGCTCAAACATCCTAACATACCTACAATTAACTCAAATAAATATTCAAACTTTTGACACTTGTACAAAACACATAAATTACTGGTTAAGCAAACATATCATTGGACACCACTGATCACAATCTTGTTTTTATCATGAGTTAGACTCATGTCATTAAGTTTAGTCAATTCAATTCAATCCATTCTAAAAGTCAGTTCAAAAATTACTTTTTCATTAACTCTTCAATTTATAAATAATATATATTTTATTAATATTATTACTGTAAGACAATGTTTCTTACAAATAAAATTATAGGTAAAACTGTATGGACCCAGTTTTAATGCACAATTAACACTAAACGCTTTTTCTAAATAATAGTCAAGTAAAATTATACCTTTATATAACAACAATCTTTATATTCTTAGAAAATCTAATAAACAACATATAAAATGTTTTAATTAAAATGTATATTACATATAATTTTCATAAGTGGAACATCACTTTTACATTAAGTTTATGATTGTTCAAAAAAATGATTTCCTCTTAAACCCCAACACAACAATAGTATGGGTGCGACGGCACTAACCCATCATTTATTGAGTTTTGTATCAAATGCATTGATTATTAATCGCATAATTATTTTTAAACAATTAGTTAAACGTAATATCTCTATTATTATTACTGCATTTAATAATTTTATATTTGATAAACATGTATTAATAAAGTAACATTTTAATAAAAAATATTTATGATATAGCATTTCAAATATAATATCATTTTATTAATTTAAATACCAGTAATTTTATAAACAATGAAAATTACTGTAAATGGTATAACAAATAGTAGTACAATAATTGAAGTTAATAATTCATTTTGTATTTTATAGTAGTTTTATTTGGTGCAAGTGTTGTGAAGACATGTTACAGTATAGTTAATCAACATCTCAAACATATTAAGTTATTAATATGTTTAGTCTTATTGATGATGATAGGAAAAAAAGTATGTTTTCAATATTTTGCATCACAAAACACTAATGTTTTGGTCATTATGTGAACTGAATTTCTGAGTGATTTGTCTTTCAATTGAGTAAATAAATGGTTAGTAGTTTTATATTGAGTAAAGAAAATCAAATTAAGTCAATAATAATAATAATTTTAAATTATAAAACTTCACTACTGTAAACATATTTTCTCAAATATTATTGCATAGTTATTTAAAAGTATAGACAATAAAGTTGGAATTAATTATAATAAAAACTACTAATGATGATTGAAAATAAACAAATTGGACATTTAAAACATTTAAAAATAACTTAAAAGACACTTCATTGCAATGCATATTGAATAGATTCTTATTGAATGAAATATGGGTACAGTTTGTGATTAAAGCACTCATCCTATTGTTTATTAATTCAAACTTATCATTGATTTCCAATACAACACACAATACTGTCATATAATTAACTTCTCATTGATTTATAGAAACATTAATTGGGTTTTGAGTTCATTTGGTTTGATTAATTGGGTTCATTTTATGAATTGACTTCGTAAACATTTTTAAATTAAAATTAAATGATTTCATATTTTATATAACAGTTAAAAAGAAGATTTAAATAAATTATATTTAGAGAGAGAACGTTAATTTCTATAAAAATCTTATTTTTAAATATATTTAAAACAATAAAACTTTTTTGCCAAGACACTTTGTTTCACAAATACTGTAGTCTTAAAATGATCATGAACATGTTTTCATACCTGAGCCACTTTCTCTCCCACATTGTGATGAGGTTTTGAGATTTCTTTGAGTATAAGTCTGGCCGATGTTTTTTGTTGTGACCTCACAATCCCATGATTTCCATTGGCATCGCATTTCAAAAGTTTAAGTTCACTATTCTTCGAGACGTCGACCATCGATGCTATCAATCAAACAGATAATAATTATTGCAATAATTTTGCCAAAATCACGTCAATATAATTACGGTTTTAAAATTAATAAATTAAAATATAGGAATATCTTAAAAATCTAATTAAATAATTGAAAAATGTGTAAATAAATTATTAAAGCATAGATAAGATAAATATAAAAACTCTAATGAGATTGAGTTTTATGAGCGAAAATTATTGCATACAAACAACAACTAAAATCAATTAACAGTATTTCTCACCGGCTTTTTGTTTTGGATACGTGTCGCTTGATTTAGAGAGATATTTGTTTGAAATAATTTTAGCCATTTGTGTTGAATTGTGATGAGCAGTGGATACTTTGTTTAAGCCATCGTTCATATCCAATGATTGACTTCTTTCAATTGGACCACAAATTGTATGATTTGATTGAATATTCTTTAGGAAGTTGTCAACAGAGCTATCGATTGACTGCGCTATTAATACATGTCTAAAATTAATTACTTATTAATGAAAAGTAATAATAATAATCCTTTTAACAAAACTGTAGTTATTATAAATAAGCTTTGATATATTGTTTGGTTTTACAATTAGGAAAATTAAACACAACGAATTTACCAGTAAATTGTCACAGTTTGCAAAGTTAAATGATTTATTATTTAATATTTTAAAAAGGAGATAGTCATACAGTAGATTGTATTATTGATTTATCAGTCAAGTCGTTATCTATACACATAATATAAGGTACTTCTGTAGTTACCGGTTGTATTTGATTGTGAATTTTAATGCCCTCAATATTTATTCTAATTTCTATATTTTTAATATAAATCTATATATAATGAACAATGCAGTTCAATATCTAATGTAAATATTATATTCTGCATATAATAAAAATAATAAAAATATAATTAATTATATATGATTTTATAAAAATTTTAATTTATTTATTTTATAAAACTTCATAATATTATATTTTAAAATACATTAAAACTCAATATGCTTATATTATTTAAAAATAATAATTTTAAAGTCTAATTAAACTATTAAAAATAACTTGAATAGCTCAATATATTTTAATTATAAGTTTTCATAAAAATTATTGTAATAAGAAATAAATGAAACTTTAAAATAAATTTATAGGTAATAAAAAGAAATGGCCTTTCTATATCACTTTTTACTTATCAATTATATAATCATACAGAGTATAAAAGTCTAACTAAACATTTAATATTTAAAAACTTAATTGCAAATAAAAAAAAGTGAAATACTTAATAATTTATCAAAAAATGTAGTAATTTTTATGCAATTAATAACTATTTTTTAAAACTAATTGAAAACATTGAAATAGTATAAAGTTCTCTTTCACACTCACTCTCTCTCTCTCTCTCACACACACACACACACACACACACACACACAATCTATATTTAATTTATTTGATACAGTTCAATTATTTAACAACTGAATTTATTTG